CAGTGAGCTGCCTGGGCAGGGGCTCCAGGTGCTTTGAAGTCTCCTCGGAGGAAAGCTCCCAGTCTAGAGTGGCCAGCCTGGGACTAGCTGTGAATGTACCAAGTGGCCTCTTGGAGTGTAAGGGGCTCCAGGTGCTTTGAAGTCTCCTCGGAGGAAAGCTCCCAGTCTAGAGTGGCCAGCCTTGGACCAGCTGTGAATGTAACAAGTGGCCTCTTGGAGTGTGTAAGGCTAGTTTCTTCTCAAGCCAGATCAAGGAGCTTGGAAGAAAGCTACTTGGGGAGACACCCTGAGATTAGTGGTGTGCTAGTAGATATTTAACAACTGGCTCTCTTTGTGGGGGAGTGGGGTGGGCAGGGGCACGCCCTGATCTACAACCAGCTTGCAAAATTCCTAATTTTTTTTTCTTTTGGCAGCTGGCCAGTATGGGGATCCGAACCCTTAAACCATGGTGTTTTAATACCGCACTCTAACCAACTGAGCTAACCAGCCAGCCCAGAATTCCTGAAACTTTAACAATTGGCTTTCACAAGCCAGAACAGGGCAGATCCAGTACGCAGCCCAGCAGTCGTGTCCCACCCTGGGCCTCCCAGCTCCTCCCTCTGCTCTCCCCCCAACACCTACCTCAAGTAACCCCCATCCCCCTGGCCCCAGACCCTGCAGACAGCTGAGGTCCCCTTCCTTTGAGCTTCAGTTCTTGGGAAACGGAGATCTCTGGGTAGAAAAAGAAATCTATGTGGGGATAAACACTCATTCTCCAAAACTGGAGGAAATACAGAGTTTGCTGAATTGGCCCCCATGAGCTATATAAATTTGAGTCATCGTCCTCTTCAGGCCAGCTCAGCTGTCTTCTTCCCATCCGCCCTGCAAGTAACAGCCTCTCAGCTGTGGCCTCTTGGGATGCTGGCAAGTGACTGCCTTTGATTTACACTTTCATTCTGTGCTTTCCTCTGTAGCCCAGCAGGGCCTTCCCCCAAAGTCTTGCCTATGAAGGGGGAGGTGAGAAGAAGAGGATCACCCCCCTCATCCCCTCTATCCTAGCAGCTCATCTTCATGGAAGCCCCTTGAGGATTCCTTCAAGGACACAAGGAAATCCGCCTCTTGGTGGGCAGAGCTGAGCATGCCCATCCACCCTGCATTTCACCCTCAAACGAGCTGTGCAGATATAGCTGTGCCTTGCTTTATGACAGAAGCACATTCCGGAAATCTCGTGTTTAATAATAACAACCACTCCTCCATCTGTGAAGCACTTTAGAGTTTCCAAAGCACTTTCCCACACTATACATCATCTAATTCAAGCCTCACGCCAACCCTGTGCAGTGGGTAGTGACTAATAAAAGCACTCTCATGGCTGACAGGCTTGGATGGGGGGGACTTTGGACATCACCTAATCCAGCCACCCAGCTAAAGCTCCCATCCCCTCTACAAGGCCCCAGCTGGTCAGTCCATCCCTGCTTGGCCCCTGCGGTGGCAGGAAACTTGCCATCTCCTAGAGGCAGTCCATTCCAGCCTTGGCGAGTCAGGGGCTTGGAAAGGTATTTCGGTTGTCTCCTTATTGTAGATTTAACGCGTTGTTTGTAGTTTGGCCCTTTGGCACACGGAACAGAACTGATATCATCTAATCTCCTCATTCGGATATTCAGAGGGGGTCTCATGTCTCCCTGTCTCCTCCTACCTCAGAAATCTTTTTTATACATTCTAGGTTCCTTCAAATATTCCTCACATGACATGGTCCAGAATCCTTTCATGATCCTGGTCAGCTCTCCTCTGAATGTGCTTTCATATACTTGTTCAATCAGAGGAGGACAGGACGAGAAGCTTCCTCATTCTGCAAACTATGCTTCTGTTAATGATAAGGTTGTTGGGGTTTTTTGTTTTGTTTTGTTTGGACAGACATGTTACACTTTGAACCTGTTGAGCCAGCTGTCAACTAAAACACTGCTGCTAAGCCATGTCCCCCCATTCTGCATTTACATTATTGATTTTGGGGAGGCCTGAATGTCAGAAGTATTAAATTTTAACTTATTAGATGAAAATTAATCTTATTAGATTTAGCCTGTTGCCAAAATCTGTAAAGGTCTTCTGGATCCCAGTTTCATGTCATCTATAAATTTGTTGAGCATTTCTTCAGACATCCTCTGAATCACTGATAAAAATGTTGAGGAGGACTAAGGAGGAAACGTATGGTGCTCTCCTGGAAATCTCTCCTAAACTGATATCTGTCCTTTAGTTGTCATCCCTTGGAGTTTACTAATTCACACAATTGTCCACCAGGCCACCTCTCCATGTTTTCCGCAAGGATATCATGGGAGATATCTTGCCAAAGTCACTTACACCATGTTTTCCTGATCTGCCAGCTTAATAATCATAATAATGGATTGAGCTCCATTATAGCAGGTGCTCATCTTTGTGACCCCAGAGCCTAGCACAGTGCCCAGTACGTGGCAGGACTTGAAAAATACCTGAAGAAATGATTGGTTGCACTAGTGAAGGAATGAATGAATCTGGACCAGATCAGTGTGAAGATTATCAGCATTTAGTTTTTTCTGAATTTACCTTCTTTCTCCATTTTGAACATTGGGACAACATTTGCTTCTACTTTCTTATAGCACCTCTCGTGAATCCCGAAAGATCACCAATTCACTTACTGATGAGAAAATAGGAGCTTGGGTAAGTTAGGGGGTTTGCCCAAGGTCCTAATCAAGGGAGACAGTAGGATTCAAGTGATTGTCTGCTGGCTTCAAGGCACCATGACGCTCTGTCTAGTCTCTTACCCACTGAGTTTGGAAACATTCCCCCAGCTCAGCTAACAGTGTCAAAGATATTTGTTCCTGGGCCGGCCCAGTGGCGCACTGGATAAGTGCACCACTTGGGAAGCGCGGCGGCGCTCCCGCCCGAGGGTTCGGATCCCACATACAGACCGGTTCCCGCTCACTGGCTGAGCGAGGCGCGGGAGCAACACCGAGGGTTGCAATCCCGTTGCCGGTTCCCAGTCCAGTACGGGGGTAACACTGAGGGTTGCGATCCGTTGCCAGACACGGAAAAAGACAAAAAAAAAAAAAAAAAAGATATTTGTTCCTAACAATATGCTGCAGTATACTAATGCAGATACATTTATAGTCTCAACCTCATTCACCATCCATCATTCATTATTTACTGATTCAACAAATATTTATTGAATACCTACTCATGTCACTGTATTCTGGGTCCTAGGAATACAACCATTACACACCCTCCTTGATCTTAAGTTTTAGCCAGGAGGGGAGAGAAAATAAATAAGCAAGTAGATATATGGTATATGGTCATGGTAAGGGCTATGAAGAAAAATAAAGCAAGAGGCAGAGGGGCTGTATTGTACTCT